AGCAACTCCTTGAATCATTTCTACAAAGATACAACCCACTCCCCTATAAATAAATAAAAAAAGTATAGAATGTGATAAAGATTTTCTTGAGGTTAAATCATTAATATACAAAACTGTTTTGTCTTCATCACTAATGTCACAAGAACATCCTCAACTGTTTATCGGTGACAGATGACAACTAAAATGCATGGTTTGATAAAAAATAATCTATGCCTTGAAAATATGTATTCTTTAATTTCACTTTGTTCCCAAAAGTCAAACATTGGGAACATAAGCAATGGGGGCGTTTGTATGCTGCATGCTTCCAGTAAGTCAGAAAATATGACCAAATATTTATAGATGCCAGTTAAGCAAGATAATTAGCACACTATGTAGCGCACATCGTTATGACGGCTATTGACTAATTAAATTATTTTATTTTAAAGAGAATTATAATATCTGTGATAATCAGATTTTTTATATATAACATTACTTTTCAATTATATTTCTTAAAGATTAAATATCTCGATCAGATATTTTCATTAGCCCGTAGAAAATGAAGAAAACACAGCCAACAACATGCAAATCTGTCCCTGGTCACATCCAGCAGATTTTAAAAAGGAGGGATTAAAAATTATGTTCCATATGCCCTTGTTGGTTACTGAAGAAACTGAATTGATTAAACTGCCACTCATCATTTACTCTGGTTAGTGCTTCATTAGGCACAGAGAGGCCCGATATATCTTAGTCAAATACTTATAAGCAGTATTTAGTTTTCAAGAAAGGAAAATTTCAGGATTTTGGACAGAAGCCATTTACTCAAGATAAGAAATAAACAACTAAATTTGGTCTAGAGACAAGAGGATTAGACTTCTATTTTTGCAACCAGACAGAACTTTGATTATATTAGTTTATCATTTTAGACCATGTCCAGATAGAGACAGGCAAACACTAAAAGCACATTTGTACTGAAATGCAATAAAAGCAAGCAAATACAAAATGTTAGCAAAAATTTTATATACTAATCTCACAGACTCTTGGTTACAACCAATGGAACTTGACTCAGGTATGGAATGAAAAATGGATGAAGAATTGCTAACAGAAATTTTAATAAAGAGTAAGATCTCTACTTGGAAGTGTCACAAGGACTTATCTGCCATAACACTTTATTTTATTAATACACTGAAAGAAGGTGGAAAGGCACAGCAGTTGAGCTAATACATAAAACTAAAGCAGGAGGTATAATTAAATATCACTGAGGAGAGAAACCATGAGATGATTTCTGCCTTGATCTGGAAGTTATGATCACACCAGTCACAATCTAGAAAATCACTTCCATGTACACTGAATTATAAGCGTAAGAGTTGTCCAATTGTGCAAGATCAGGCCCAGGAGAAGATACAAATATGAACAAAAAATAAAAATGAGATTCCTCCTGGGGAACTACAAGAAAATAAATCGTGTCAAAAAAAATCTTAATAGAAAACAAAATGAATTATAGGTAATTTTCTACATGGAAAAGAACTTGTAAACTGCTGTGTCAGATGAGGACTTGGGGTGATAAGGCTGACACAAAGACCATGGGATTAACAGGAATCTTTTTGTTCAAAAGCTTCAGTTGGCTTTAATCAGGCCCATAGTGAACAGGAAACTGAAAATGAGCATATAATATGATTATTAAGCCAAACAAACAAAAGCAGTGTTTTGTGTTGTAAATACACATAGACATCAAAACTCTACACAGCCTTGCAATTCTGTGTATACTTCTAAGCAGTCCTCAACAGAAAAAATGTTAACAGAATGACTTCTAAGCAAATTCTAATAGTAATTTTCAATTGCTGGAAAAATTGGCTTGTAAGGAAAAATCAAATGTACTAAGTAACTCCTAGCTACAAGAGTGAATAAGGGGTGGGAAGGACATAACCATATGAACTTATATATGAAATATATGAATAGCAAAGAAGGAAGAATTCATTAAAATTTCATTGGTCCAAAGAACTGCAGATATGTCCGAGAGGAGGGTATAAACTCAGAGTAATGGGGTAAATGTAAGTGTAAAATTTAGGACACTGGGGGAAATTACTGAAAAGCATGGTCAATTATACTGTAGAAATAAGTCTCCCAAAGTCACGTAAAACCAGACTTGCTGAAATATATCAGACGCCTATACATGAGCAGCAAGGCTGCTCTGACACGCTGCAATTACTTGATTAATCAAGCCTGTTGGAGCGTGGTAATTACCACACTAAGGCAGACTCCAGCGTCTCATGTATCAGTGTCCCCATGCTGAAAAATGGTGGCAGGGGCGCTTTAACTAAAGCTTGTTTGACAAGTTTTAGTTAAGGTGCCCCACTGCCATTTTTCAGCATGGGGATGCTGCTACATAAGATGCTCTGGCCGCTTTAATTAGAGGGGCTCTCAGAGCCAACTTTTATTAAACGTCCCTCCCCCAACTCCTGGACCACACGTATAAACGGCCTTAAAGTCTGTCTTTCTGGAAACAATCTCACAGGAAAAAGTAATGGGACAGGATGAGCTAACACATCTTTCTCATCCCTGATCTTCACTATACTAGATTATTCAGTCAAATTTCACATTTCAAGCAGTAACCTTTGCTTTATAGTGTGTGCATGTGCGTGTGCATTTATGTGTGTATCCTGCTCTCCCACCACCAAATTTCTAGACCACCGGGGAGCCCCACAGGCTATATGACATGGTGCTGCAGGCTGGATCTGGCCTGCAGGCTGGAGGCGCTATATCCCTGGCGCACACACACACACACACACCACACACACACACACACACACACACTCTCTAGCCATTATCGTGCAGCTTTCCCTAACGTTTTCAGCAAAGTACTTCAGAAAGTATTTGTGCATCAGCAAAGACCATTAGCAATATTTTAATCAACTTGATATAGATTCTCTGATT